AAGGCCCAATCTTGTTTCTAGAAACTTAACCAAAGGTAATGGACAGCTCAGCTAAAACAGGGTAACATTAAAGACATAGAGAATGAGGCTAGGTTATTTGAAAACCTAGTAATATCTTTAACAAAAAGTAGACAAAGATGCCACTGGCCTTGGGCAGGCATAGAATCTCATAGCACATGGTTGGGGAAAGAAACCTGTAAGGAACACAATAGCTGGCAAGACAAATCTTATTCACATTAAGAGACCTCACTGATACCTTTGGGCACGTGCTGCATAGGTTGGTGTGATTTTGTAAATGTCGTGACAGTGGGCCAGGGTGACACAGGCATGGTCTGAGATGAGGAAGAGAGCAAAGCTCACTGACCCACCCCATGTCTGTGCTTCCAACTTGATTTTTGATGCTGATGCAAACTATCCTGTGTCTGTGAGTCATGCCCACACCAATGCCACGTCTCAGTCCAGACAGGGATGTGAGGTGCAAGGATTACGGAGTCTACCTGGGATACCAACTGGAGATTTATCATGTTCACAATGGAGTACTCACTGTCTACAAGAGCCAAGCTGACTTGCTTTTCTTCAAAACAGTACGAAGTGCTCCCATAAGGGCAGTAGGAGTGAGGTAGTTTAGGAAGGATTGAAGGAGTCGAGCAACATCCATCCAGTGACTCCTGGGGGACTTCATGCTTGTCCACCCTCAGCGGTTCCCTGCTGAGCCTGTAAGGTAGGAAGGAGTAAGGATTAATCCAAGGAGTTTCAGAGCCCTGCTGGCTTCACGTGAGGCAGGAGGGAGTGATGGCAGAAACAAATGGGGCAGCCCATTAAAGAGTTCAATATTCTCCTCTTTGTGGTGGGTCACAGTGTGGTTACCATGGGGTAGGTTGCAATACAGAGAGAGGGAAAGGGAGATGAGAGAGAGAGAAGCATCAGGAGTTCAGCGAACTGCCCAGATCACGATTTTCTGAGGAAGGAGACTGAGTTTCTCTGTATGGTACAATCGTGACTCACTGAATATCCCGTTCCATAACGGTGGCTTCATTCCTTTCTTTTAAATGGTATTAAATTTTATGTGCAGTGGTCAAGTAAACGTAGGTTTTGTGGCATTATAATATCCCCCAAATCGCAAGACATCAAGTCCTCTTTCTCTCAATATTGTGCATGGTATAACAATAATTTTTTCTACCTAATTTCCTTGCCTTGAAATACTCACCACTATGCTAATGCAAAATCAGCAGAAAACAAATATGCATCTCAGGCTGATGGACACCATAAGAAGAAGATACTTACTTTAAGGAAATCTGATTAGTTGTTCACAAGGTCAATTGGTTTTATGTACTGAACTTGAGAAGTTAATAAGAAATGGCAAACATTACAAGTATCACAATGAAAAATGTAAAACATGGTTAGAAAGGATCATTTCTGGTTGGCTGAAGGGATGAATTAGGTATATTCAGGACTTTCTAGTTTTCTGTGGATATGAGTTCCACAGATATCACCCCTGAATAGACAGCCCCTGATTTTTCTCAATTACCTGGGATCAATTGTTTCTTGTCGTTTCACCTCTTCAAGATCATTTCGCTGTTCTGTAAATAAATTAAGAGAACACCAGCCAGATGAACTTGATCACATTTATACATTCACAACCTTGTGTCCAAACCTACCTAATACTCGGTGTGATAACAGGCTACTGTGAGAGAAACTTTCCAGGAGGCCTCAGGGTGAGCCTTGTGAGAAGTCACTAGGTTTGCTTTCCTGAGCCATGGAGCAAATCTCCCTGATATGACAGGTCATCATCACAGTCCCTTCTGTCCTGAGTCACAGCAAAATGTTAACCATATCCTATTTACTAACAGATCCTGGAGATCTACTTAAATGTTTCCTAGCAGGTTACTGCAGTATTCAGTATGTTTCCTTCAGATAAGCTGTTGTTGGTGTTTTTGTAGAATGTACATTTAGAGGGACAGATTAAATCAAATGAATCTCTAATGCTACATGGAAACTTAGGTCTTTCATGAGGCAGGGAGTTCCAGGGCCCAGCCTCCTTTCAGAAACATACAAAATCTAATAGTGGTGTCATGTTCTGGTACTCAGAGACCTCTTAGCTAAGACAAGCCTGCTAAAAGGGGAGGGAGTCTAGCCTGAGAGAAGTGAACGAGGGTAATGACAGCTCCAAGGATATAGATAAGGCTGCCAGTGGCCTTGGACAGGCAGAGAAACTCAGGTTGTTTGGGAGGGAAAATTAGAAGATTTCATGTGAGGTGACAGATTAAATCTAAATCAGGAGGACTGGTGGTTACATCCTGCACCCAGGCTGCAGAGGTGGGTATGAATTTGTCAGGTCAACCTTGGGTACAGTGATTTGACAATGGGGCAAAGATGAAAGACAATGTGTGGTTTTGGAGGAGGATGGAGCACAACTCTGACTCCTAGGATGCCTTCCTTCAAACTTAATCCTAAAGCCTGGTTCAACCAGTATATAAGCATAGTGTCTTCCTGAAGGTATGACATCTATCATTATGGACAGATTGTGTGGTGGAAAGAATAGGGAGCCTACCTAGGAAGCCAAGTGAGGTCTCATCCCATTTGGAATTGGAGTAATCCCTGGCAACATCCTGAGTGGAGCAAACTTTCTCTTCATCCAGTGCCAGGAAAGAGACTTCACTATGCAGGTAATAGTTGGACATGTCATGCTGTCTAGAATGAGACAAAACACATTCCCCTGTTAAGTCCTACAGGACTCCCTTCTCTTCAACATCCTGCAGCTTCCTGAGGAGCCGGGTAGGATAGGATTGACATATTAGACCAAGAGTGATTCAACACCACAGTATGTCATGTGATTTGATGGGACACAAAGGGAGGGGTCATGGAAAGCGAAGGGGGAGTCTCCTCCAAGAGAGAAAACCCATCCTTCTAAATGTGGGGTGGATGTGACTGCCCTGGAGACAGAGCAAACACAAGCAGCAGATGCTCAGTGCACTTGCCACAAACGAGCTGCTGCAGGAGACCCAGACTCTCCCTGTAAACTAGCCGCATGACTTGCAGCAGAGAGATCTAACACAGGGCTTCACTTCCTTCACACAAATTGCGTTGACATTTACATGCAGCATCCAAGTGAACAGATATGTTTAGGCATTCCAGACACACAGATCCTGCATTTTTAAAGTCCTGTTTTTTTTCAATATTTTGACATATGAAATTTTTATTTTTAATTTTCTCAATTGCATTCAAGTACTTGCCAACATGCTGACACAAAACATACAGAAAACATATATGTATCTCATTCTGGATTAATCACATGGGAAACCACAGCTCAGATCAGGAAATCCCTGAGTTTGGTTTGTTCACCTGGCTCAACTGATTGTCAGTTCCTATGCTTGAGAGGGATTAAGAAATTGAAACCTATTCAAGTACCACAATAAAGAAGACAACATTGTGAAAGGGGTAATTTGCAGTTGGATGAATGGAGGAGACAACTTGATTCATCACTTCCTATATTCCCTGGATCTGTGGTGTCCAGGTGTCACTACTGAACTAACAGCCCACAAATCCACAGTTACCTGGGGAGCACTGGTGCTTTCCCCTCCTCTTCCTCATGATCATTTTGATTTTCTGTAAACAAATTCAGAAGAGCAGGTCATAGTAAGGAAATCACACTTCACACAAGACCAAATCAATGTCCAGTCATGGCACAAGACATAAATATCCTCAGTGTAAGAATGTGACATTTTGACAGGACCATTCTGACTTATTTTCAGAAGTAGATGAGCCTTCTTTCCAGACCCATGGGATAAAATGTCCCCCATCTGGCAGATCATAATCACCTATCCTCTGACCTAAGTCTGTGTCAACAATTAAAGAAAACTTTTTCCACAAGATCTTCAAAAATTGCCCTAACTACTCTCCAGATGTGTTGTTGCAATACTGATTTATCTCATCATATATCATGGTCAATGAATGGTTAGAGAAATTTATATAGGAGACTGAACTGATGGATAAATTCTAACAACCCTTGCATAGAAAAGGATCTGCGGTGCTACACAGAAACATTGGCCACTCACAGGGTGAGGAACTCAGGGCCCAGCCTTGTTTAGGAAAACTTATAAGCAAGATAAAGGTAGAGGTGTTTATGTCCTGCTTTCAAGGTGACTGCTTAGCCGGAACAAGCTGACCTAAATGAGACCAAGGCTGGGGCTGAGAACAGTGAATCCAGAGAAACATGTCCAAATACATAGGCAAGACTGTCAGCGGCTTGTGACAGGCATAGACACTCCATGGACATTATTATTGCAAGTGACAAGAGACACACGAACCGAGCCAGGAGGCCTGACAGCTACCTCCTGTATACAGGTGGCTATGACTTTGTCACACCTGCCTGTGGTCCAATATGCTAATATTGGGGCCAGGAAGACAAAGTCCATGCCATGGGCCAAGGAGGCGAGGAAAGTTCTCTGACCCTCAAGTAACTGTGTATATTATTCCATCATAGTGTCTTTCTTTGTTTCTTTTTCTTCTTTCTTCTTTTCTTTTCTTTTCCCTTCCCTTCCTTTCTCTCTCTCTGTCTCTCTCTCTCTTCTCTCTTCTCTCTCTCTCTCTCTCTTTCTTTTTCTTTTTTTGAGACAGAGCCTCACTCTGTCACTCAGGCTGGAGTGCAGTGATATAATTATGGCTTACTGCAGCCTCTACTTCCGGGGCTCAGGTGATTCTCCCCCCTCAGTTGCCTGGGTAATTGGGATGACAGGCATGCACCACCATACCTGTCTAGTTTTTCATATTCTTTGTAAAGGTGGGTTTAACCATGTTTCCCAAGCTGGTCTTGAACTCCTGAACTCAAGTGATCCACCCACCTGGGCCTTCCAAAGTGCTGGGATTATAGGTGTGAGCCACTGCACCCGGCTCCATTATAGTTTGTGATTCAAACCAATACATATGTATACAGCCTGTCCTCAGAATTGATCTTCCTCAACCTAGACAGAGGTGGGAGGGACAAAGAATAGAGAGGCTACCTGGGAGAATGGTTAGAGCTTCCTCCTCTTCATCATGAAAGCGTTCACTCTCTACAACCAGAGCAGAGTCAACTTTGTTTTTCTCAAATGTGATTTTGGTGCTCCTGTGAGGCTGGTTGGAGTTAGAAGGGTTGTGACTATTTGAACAAGTGACAGCACATTCCTCCAGTGAATTCTGAGGGACTTCCTTTCCTTCAGCCTTCTGCACCTCCCTGATGAGCCCAGTGGGATAGAGATGACAAAAGATTAATCCAAAAGTGATTGGAGCCCAAGAAGTCCTAGCTGGTTTTGAAACGAGGCTTAAGGGAGTGGTCCCAGAATGCAAAGGAGAGGTTCCTTTTAAGAGGGAACAGGCAATCCTTTTCTGTCTGCAACAGAGCATGGCTGCCATGGGAACGAGAGAGGAAGTGAGCAGCTAGTGATCATTGCATTGGGTAGCTAGGAGCTGAGCAGGATGGAGACTCAGTTGTCTCTGTATGGTACAGTCTTGACAGCACACACAGATCCAAAAACAGCTGCCACACTGTGTGTCTAAGCTGGGTTGTAGTTCACTGTGGCCACGGGAATATAGGTGTTGAAGTCATTGTGGACTCTAGAGATGGTGTGCCTTCTAGATTTCTTTTTTAATTTTAATATTGTGACATGAAATGTAAATTTTTTTGTCTAAATACGTTTCTTCGTGTTCAACTTTGCTAGGTGCTTCCTATTTCCTCTGCTTGTTGCCTCTCTGTTATTTATCTTTACTAAAAGGAACCTAAAGACAACCGTGTATAAAGCAGCTTTGCATGTCCTCCTGACTTTCACTACAGAGAAGAAAAGTTCTCCTCTGTGTGTGCAGGAAGTCCCTAGGGCTGTGAGTTCATCTAGGGTCATGCTTACGTGTACCATGAAGACAATGGACAAGCATGTTAACAGGGCTATTTCCTTGCTGGGTGAGTGCATGAAATCAGTGGACTCTGCAGGTTTCTCATCCTGCATCTGGAATCTGTGACTACCTTCACCCGCCTTGGGTTCTTTCTGAGACCCTTTTCATATTTTACCACCCATTACCCGCTCCTGATTATTCAGTGTTACCTGGGGGCAGGTGATTCCTGTACTTTCTCAACCTCCGCATCTTTCTCATCTTCATCCTCATCTTCATCATTCTCTGCAAATACAGAAGTGTCCATTCAGATGTGTCCCACTTCATCTACGTAAGTACAGTGAGCCATATGTGTACAGAGACATGAAGATCTATGTGTGAGTCCACACTGTACTGAAAGCTCTCATGTTTTATCTCTAAAAAAATGCCCTGGCATGTTTTCCTGATCCATGAGGCAATGCGTTTCTGATCTTGGGAGTCACCATCAAGATGTGGCCAAATATTGAAAAGACCTTTTGCTCTTCATATCACTGGAGGCGTGTCCAGGTTCTCTGAACTTCAGCAGCTGTCTCCCCAATCCTGCCACAGATCTGATTCCTAGGCACAGACTCTGGGTCCTGTCACAATTCGCATTTAGAACCTGTATCTTTCTTTTAGAACAGGACAAACAACCTTGTCCCACAATATTCCATACATTACGGACTTCATGGGCCCTCCAAGTGGCTTCCATTGTGTTATCCAGGGACAACCTGTCCATGGGGAGTGCTCCAGTCTAAACCAGTTCATACCACCAAATGCCACCACGCAAGTGACTTCTCCAACCCAACACAGTGAGGGGCTTTATCTCATTGAGAAATATAGTCATAAGTGTTCCTACATTTGAATGCCAGAGACAATTTGTTTGCCTTTACAGATTTAGAGACAGAAACCCAGGAAGGATAAATTAATCAGTTGCCCACAGTTGCTAAAGACATTGCTGAAGATAGAGCCTGGGAACCTTCATTCTTAGTCTGGGTCTCTTTTCACTCTAACAAGCTGCCTCCTATCACAGCCTCCTTCCTGTCCTTTAAAACTGGACAAATGCTGCCTCTTGCTTCAAAGACCATGTTCCATCAAGAAAGGAGAAGACCTTTGCAATACTGTGACCTCCAACCCCATGGGTTTCCCATCTCTATTCCTACTCAGGAAGTCCTGGTCATGTCATGGCCACAAATGTTTACTGGAAAGATACACTACCCATAAAATTGTCATTGTGGAGGTGTGGAGGTCTGGGGACTTCCATAAGCCTAGAGCTGTGTGTTATCAGGGCCTGTGGCCACCTCACCTGGGCTCAGCTTGTGAACAAGGTGCTCTGCCAGCCTGCGCCCCTTAGCCAGCTGCTCTCGGAGGTCCTGACCCTGGGACTTTTCAAGGTCATCAGGAGCGAGGAGGGCCTTGAAATGCTGATTCAGTGAGCGGGAGGCATCTCTCCCTTCCTGTAACTTCTCCCGTAACTGGGTCAGCTCTCGTGCCTGAGAGTGAACCAGGGCTTTATATTGCCTAAGGTGAGATAGTAGAGAACATTTAATAATGGAAAGGGATGAGTGATCAGGTCTAATACTGCAACAGAGGTTTCTTTCAGAATGTCCCCAAGGAGACCTCCAAGTAGAAAGTCAGAACATGTTTGGGGAGATATCTGTGGCCAAGAGAAAGAAGAATATATGTGTTTGTATACACATACACACACATATAGACACACACATATATATACACATACATATACATATATATATACACACACACACACAGAGCCTTCTGATATATCAGAGAGTGCTTCTATAAGATTCTCGATAATGTTCCATTCACCTTTTTCTTCTGTAAACAAAAGTCGGTGTCTTCCTAAATCAGTTCCACAAGAATGTCCTTTGAGCTCCTCACTTTGGCCATGGGCATCTCTATGTGAAAATTCACTTAGCGCATCTTGCAGTGACTAGACACAAGCCATGCACAGAAATGTGGCCAAGTGCAGATGGGGTGAATTGAAAAGATTAAAGAAGAAAAGAATGACAGGGTCAAGAAGGCAACACTGATTGAATGAATGAAACGCCGCAGTCAGTCACGAGGTGATTCCGATTAAGAGTAAAGGTGGTGGTGATCTCACACCATTTTGAGTATCCTAAATGCTTCTGAGTGGTTCACTTGTTTTTGGTTTATTTTGTGTTATGCAAATTTGACCTAAACAATTAGTGATTTCAAGAAGAGAAAACAAGGCTTAAGAAACAACTGCAATCAATAACTTACTAAGATGATTGTTCTCTGTTTTATAAATATTTGTGTGACATGTGCCTGCCATGTAAATGCCTGCCCTTGTCCTGGCCCAGCTTAGCTCTTAGTTCTCCCAGCTGAGTTGCTGCACTTCAGAGATTCACACCCCTGCCCATCTGCCTGCCCCCAACGGGGCCTACTCACCCGAGCTCCTCAGCTTGCCTGAGCTTCTCTGCCAGCTTCTCCACGAACTGCAGTTCATCCCTCAGCACAGAGTCTATGATGTCTTTGTACTCTTCACACTCTGAGAAAAGACAGACACACCTGCCTCAGTGGAAGGCTGGACATGCTGCTGGGATCACTACTGACAGGGCAGGCGGCAGCATCCATCCCAAGGATGAAAGCAGCCCCAGTACCAGGCTCCAGGCGGGCATTTCCACATCTTTATTTATCAACCTCCCAACTTTCTGTTATCTGATACTCCCCAACTTAGAGATGGGAAGAAAGAAACTCAAGGGCCCATCAAGTAGCTTGAGAAGATGATTCACCTGGAACAAGGCAGAGTCAGAATTCACAGCCCCTGAGGTCTGACTCTGAATCTTGGGTCACTTTCCAAGCCTTACAGCCTCTCCTGTAAAACACTGCGCTGGGGCATGAAGTAATAATATCCTGAACAGTCGGAAAGACCCTTAGCACTATGGGACTCATGGTTTCCCTTGTACCGGGAATTTCAAGTGCAAATATATCATACATTTAAAAAATCAGATCTGGATATAATTGCATAAAATATGAGGCATAAGATCGTGAGGCAACGACAGAAATATGCCCCAATACTAATAAAGTTTGAATTAAGTTAGAAACAGTAGAATGAAGAACTAATACATAACATTTACTCTGTTCCAAGAAGTGTTCTAGGAAATGTACAAGAAATAGGTCACGTAATTCATTGCAGTAATTTACAGAGGTAGGTATTATTATAGTACCCAATGAACAGATGAGGAAACTGAGACAAAGAGAAGATAGGCAACTTGGATGGAGCCCAGGAGACTGGCCCAGGGTCTCTGCTCTGCACACTACACTGCTATCTCCACAATGTCTTATGTGCCAGCTTTCTTCCTCTTTAGGAACAAGAGCCTGTGCCCCAGGAAGCAAGGCTTCCCTCTCACTGGCACACTACCTGCTTTGAAGGGTGTCACAGATACCACAGTTTCTGTTAGGAGCAGTCTCTTCTTTAAGCTTGTTAGAGCGGGTACAGTGTATGGTTGCCATGTTTCCCCCAGAGTCCCCAGGATGGAGCTTTGCCTATTGGGCCTCAAAGAAGCTCGAACTGAATGGAAGTTCATTAGTCCCAGATATTTCGACCAACAGACTAGATGTTATATGTCTGCAGGATCTTGTATGGTACAGAGAGGATTCTCATAAACATGATTTAGCCCCTTACTCAGGAAAACAGGTGGTTCTGTGCCTGTGTCAGCAGTCAACATGTTGGATTTTAACTCTAGTTCCATCTCACGCCAGACTGCAGTTGTGGAAAAGTTGCTAACTACTTTGTGCCTCTGTTTTCCATGTTTAACAAAATGAGGTTAAAATACCCACTTCTATTGTCCTAGAAGTATGGGAAGGATCACATTAATTTTGATGAAGAGACCGTTCAGTTTCTCAGAGAGAAGACAGGTGGTCATTCATCACTTTCGTGATGGTGAATCTATAGAACTTACTGTATTTCTTCAGCTGGTTGGCCAGGGAGTAGGCAGTAGCTTGAGTTATAAGGAATTTCTCTTTGAGGTCTCGGAACTGCTGATTGCTCTCTGCCAGCTGGGTACGCAATTCCTTGTTGATTTCTAGGATGTTCATCTCTGCCCGCTCGCTGGACAAAGGGTCGGCAGATACCACCATGCTGACGTTTGTGGCAGAAGAGTTAGAGCCAGGGACTGGGGAGAAGAAACCCAAACACATGATGGCTCAAAAACGAGTGAAATCAATTAGGTTTAATCAGGACTGAGAGATGACAATAACTGGAATTGTTAACTTACATTTTTGAAAAACTTGATCAACACCCCACAACACTTTAGAGTCCTTAACCGCAAAAACAGGGTCCAGGCTGCCTGAGCTCAGAGGTGAAGGCACTGCCTATAGCTCCGACTCTGACAAGAGTGAGGGAGGTAGCAGCCAGCACGCCAGGTAACGGTCTGCAGTTGCAATAACAGAATTCGAAGGTGGGGGTGTCATGGAATCTTAGGAGCCCTGCATTCCAATTGCCCAGGATGTGCAGAAACACTAGGCTCCCTGGTCTCACCTGATGGTCACTGATGGGGACCATTTCTTCAGCAGTCACTCTCAGTATTAGTGCACCCTGGTGACAATGCTATAGGCCCATCTCTTTCCCAAAACATCTAAGCCTATTCCTCATTGCTCATCTCTTGTGTGCATAAAATCATCAAGGTAGAGATAGTTTCCCCTAAGGTTATGTTTTCTTAGTGGTAGTCACAAAGTCACCCCACCTTCTTTTTAAGGTAAAATGATCTCAATGCTTTTCTACAAGTGAAAGATATCAAATTTTAGACTGCTATGATATCCTTTGGGTCTTCTGCAGTTTTTTTCTGTGTCTACTGAAAATGAGTGAATAATTCATTTTTAAAAAATATTTTCTATCCTTTCTCAGTATTCTTGTTGCATCCCATTGTTATGTTGGTTTCTTTTCTCTTACTGGGGAAGCATCTTGTGTTTTCACTACACTTAAGACCAGTTTCACATCCCTACGTCCATAGCTCTTCCTCTATGCGTGGATTGGTTTGCTTTTTTAATGTCACTGAACACTCATTTCATACTTACCACTTACAAAGATCATTCTGGTCCCACAAGAGTTCTTTTCAAGGTGTCAAGTGATAAAAATCATTTGTATAAATCCCCTGAAAGCATGTGTTACCATGTATCTTGGGAAGTCTTGTAAACCTGTAACTATTTTCATTTAGGTTTCGCATATATTGAAAAGAACAGGGCCATGAACACTCCTTATGGAACACTGTTGGATATATATACATTTTGAGTTGCTCTAAACCACTGATGTGTGGTTGCATTCCAGTAACAGAACCTGGCAAGATCAAGCCCATGGTCAGGGGTGGTTGGTGATCCTCCCCTGAACCACCTCCTCACTTTCTCAGCTTTCATCTCCACCCAGATTTTGTGAGGCTAGAACTTGGGAGATTGTCCTGTAGCCCAAGTCTCCTAAGTTTGGCTGCTGGACTTGCCTGAGTTGAGGTGTGATAAGTGTGACCACGGGCTACTCAGCATTCATGTGGAAGTGAAGGGAGGAGGACTGGATCAATCCCATTGTAAAGCGTGCCTCTCAGCAGCCTGCACCATCCTCCAACTACACTGTGTAATGACAGTGCTTTGAGAGGTAGCAAAGGCTGTAAATAAATCTATTTTCTGGTGTGTGTGAGACCTGATATTATACGGGAGGAAGAAAAATTTGCAAAATTTCTTCATTTTAAAAATGGTGAAACTGCAGATCAGAAAGACCAGAAAGTTATATGGCTTTTTTGAGGTCACACAGGGATGAGTCTTGAGCACTGTCAATAAAAGCAATCACAATATTTATTCAGTGATTATTCATAGAATCCATAGAATTCAGTGAATATTCATATAATTATGAGTAATATTAATCGACCAATTTGTACCAAGCCTTTTCCCCAAAACTGCACGTATTTACACTTTGTATTTTCATCATAATCCTTAAGGTAATGTTATTATCTATAAGAAACAGGTATGAAACCTGAAGAAGAGGATAGCAAATCATGTATTTGGCCATATTTCCATTTTTTTGTTTCTGTGATTCTGGCAGAATGACCATATTGAGTCAAGGGAATAGTATTCATTACTGTATCATTTTCCAGGACAGAGATGTGCCTTACTAGAGTATTTGGGGTCAAAGTTTAGAAGTGTTTGCAACCTCGCTTTAACAGTATGGGAAATAACCTCTATTACCTGGAATTTCAATGGAACTTCCTAATATACAAGAGAAGTATGACACTTGGGTCTTCCGTTGGCTGTATTTAATTCACTCTTCTATAGAATACCAATGATTCTCATTAAGATTTTTGCCTTTTTGTAACCATGGTATATGTTTTTTATGGAGAAGATTTTACTCTTATCTCTATTTTAAAGAATAAATATAAGCTATGGCTTAGGTTTTATGCCCTGGACTTAATATTTTTCTGATTTCTGTTTTGAGGTTAAATTCTCATATAAATAGAAAAATACTCGTTATTACTTATAAGAGCAAATTAGTTACTGGTTTGAGTTTCTGAAGTCGAAGCACAAACTTTTGTTTTTAATCTTTGTCTGTCCCCATCAGCGCCACTCATTGTCTCTCAGTACGACGAGGCCGTGTCCTGCACTTACCCTCATCCTGCTGAACCATTTACATGCACTGTCCAATTCCATCAGTGATTCGGGCTCTTCTCAAAGCTCTCTGAAATGGGTCGAGTTCTCAGCATGTCAGACACCTTCCAGACACAAAAGCAAGCCATACTGTAGAGCGGGCAGCTGGGTTCCAACCTCCCTGAAGTTGGCAGTGATGTCCTAGGGCAGGAAGGAATGCTTTCCCTTTTTAAGGGGTCTTTTCTTCATGTCTCAGTGCCTCTGATCTAGTGAACACAGTTGTCCTGAATGTGAAAGAATTTGCTAAATTTCTGGTTTCTTGTTAGGTGGCTGGAACAGATTTATAAGACTTACTTACCCAAGTCTGCTGAAGTTTGAAGTCTTAGCAGTACGATTCCTTTTCTTGTAAGTTGAGCCGCTTGGAGAAAATTGGCCCTGTTGCCATGCAAAGAGATGTAAACGTAACATCTACTCAAAGCAAGCTTGAATTTGAAACTAGGGCTTCCACTGTTCCAAGGTTGGACTGTCACTGCCTCAGGCATGTGTCCCGAAGGGCTCGTGTCTCTGCCATACTCAGGATAAAGTTAAGATGGAACCCATCAAGGCATGTCTCCTTCACTTCTAGGTTCCCCCAACAGTTTTCTCCTCTTTAGAGACTGCATTGAATACATTCTTGTTCTGCTTTTGTGTTTGGCTTTGGAATGATGTGATGGAGCTCAATGGTTCCTACCCCCAAGTTGATCAGAGTAAGAAACACCTGGAAGGTCAGTCCAGTGTCCTCCTTGCAGGGATTCTGATTCGGTGCCCTCAGGTGGGGCCTGGAATGTGTTTGTTAACATGACTCAGATGTGCAGTCCGTTTGGGGACCCTCTGATACCACGGACCTTACAGTTTATGGGATGATTCTGTTTTGCTGATGAAGAAACCAAGGCAGAGAGAGTGTGTAACTCGCCCAAGTTCCCTTTGCTGTAAGTACTGGAGCCAGATCTCGGGAAGAGTCCCCCTTCCCCAATCCGCTTTCCACATTTTCCAATTCAGTTGTATAGGTGCTTTCCAAGTAGGTGTTTCTCTCCCCCGTACCTTATTTCTGCAAAACAAGCAAACACACATTAAAACAAACAAACAAAAAACAAAACAAAACAAAAAAAATTCTTGAATTCAATTTGTTTCCTTTAATACATTCCCTCACAACATGCAGTCAGCATTATATTCTGGCCACTTACTATTAATATGAGATGCTTGTTTTTGTTTTTTCTTTTTTTTTGTTTTTTTTTTTGAGACAGATTCTCATTCTGTCATCCAGGCTGGAGTGCAGTTGTTATTAGAGCTCACTGCAACCTCGAACTCCTGGGCACAAGCGATCCTCCTGCCTCAGCTTTCCAAGTATCTGGAACTCTAGGCACGCATCACCATTTCTGGCTAATTTTTTGTTTTAAAATTTTTTGTAGAGACGAGGTCTTGCTATGTTGCTCAGGCTGGTCTTAAACTTCTTTCACTCGAGAACTTTTCATTGAAAAGTCTTTCATTTCCCCAATGAGAAGTACTCGTGTCTTTGTTTTTAAAAACTTTAAATAACTGTATATATATGAGCATAATGTTTGAGTCTGTATTCTTTGTATGTTGATATACTTCTGTATACTTACACTAGTACCACAGTTTTTAAATTATTGTAGCTCTAGAATGAGTTTTGAAATCCAGCAGAATAACTCCTACAACTTACTGCTTCTTCAGGACTGACTTGCCTGTTCTAGGTTCTTTGATTTTCAAATACATCTTGAAATTAGGTTTTACATTTCTCTAAAAATTCCTACTAGAAACAGTAATCAGAACTATGTTGATGTAATATCCTAACAAAATTGAATCCTCCAATCCATGAATGTAATATATTTCTCTATTTAGTCTTCTCTCTTTCTCTCACCAATAGGTTTCAGGGGCTTTGTACCTGCTTCATTATATGTATTCTTAAGCATGTAATGATTTTGGATATTAATCTCTATTATTTTTTATTGAATTTCATTTTCTAGCTGCTAATTGCTAGTATGGAGAAATTAAGATGACTAAATCAACGTTATAAAGGTATTTATTAGGTACAATAGACTGCACCACTTTAAAATGTGTAATCCAATGCATGTTTACAAATACACACACTAATGGAACTACTGCTACAATCAAGATATAGGAATTTCCATAAGCTCAAAGTTTCTTGTAACCCTTTGCAGTTCATCACTCTTTCGACCCTCAGGTCTGAGGAGTCACTGTCACTTTCTGGCAGTACATTTTTAACCATTTTCTATAAATGAAATTATACTTGTGTTCTTTTGTGTCTGCCTTCTTTCATGTGTTATATTAATTTTAAAATCCATCCATGTGAGTATTTTCAGCAACAGTTAATGCCTTGTAATTGCTGAGTAGTATTCCTTTGTGTGGCTATACCATGTCTGTTTATACATTCACTTGTTTTTGGACATTTGTGTCATTCTAGGTTTGGGCTATTTTGAATAAAGCATCATGAGCATCCACATGCAGATCACTGTGTGGATATAGTGTGTAAAT